CCCAACCAGGTCGACCTCCTCGCGGTTCCCCCTGGAAACTATCATGTTTAATTCCTGATGAATTCATCATGATGGGCTAACTGGCCTGTTTTCATTCTCATCTATCACCCTTCACTGGTGCTCCGCTAGCGTATCCCGTTAGCGCAGGCGGGGTTCCATACCATTTTAACCTATCAAAAAAAAATGTTTTACCACACAAATGTATATATTCCGCAAATTCTGCATTCAATTAATTTTGAGCCTCAAAGACCTTCACTATAGTTATACATTCTACTATATTCACTAGTATACGATATTTTTGTTTATTACATGTATTACCTTTAATATTTTTTTTTTATTTCGAATAAAGAATAAATCTCACGTATAATGATAGCTAGATAGATACTCTTTATTGTTTCCTCCAAAAGATTACAATAGTAAACTTGTTATAGATATAAATAATTACAAGAAATAATCACAATGAGAAAACAATGGGCGAGCTTATCGCTAAGAGCGATCTCTTCCATAATAATTATTAAATATTAATAATAATTACATAATACGATCTTTTATTAAATAATCGTACCTCCATAATTGAAATAACTTTTTTTTATACAACTTAGAATGGCAAACAAGCTGACGGCCCACCTGATGGAAAGTGGTAACCGTCGCCTAAAGACATGAGCAGTACCATGCACATAACAGAGTATACTATTTCGCTAATGATACCCCCCTATGCGTTGCCATTCCTGAGGACTCAGATGTTATTCCTTTGTACCCTGTAAATTCACACCATATCCTACCCTTCAAACCGAAACACAGCCATGCAAACACAGCTGCTTCACGGTAGAAACATGAATTGGACAGAGGTGCCCAAGCAATCGACTTTTGTACAAAGTCTCACTGTATGTACATATATAGGTACTACGATAAAATTTATATGGGATTTATCTTATGTATTATCGAGAATTTTGCTAATCGGTCCGTTACGGATGCGATTTAATCGCTTATCTCCACAATTCACAGCGTAGCATATTTCAAGTGATACGCCTATAATATTGCATAGGTTAACCAATTAAACCGTTTATCAGATGATCAGGAATTCCATGACACGGACCTCCCGTGGCGTTACACGTCGCTTGTTATAAAACAACTGATTATTTTATATTTTAATAGTTTTTGATAAAATAAACAGAGAGTAATCATTTATATATTATGTAGGGAAAGATGTATAGAGGACCGGTTTTACCAGCGGTTTTTTTTTTGTTGGATGAAAATGGATTGGTAATCCCGCCTGCGCTAACGGGATACGCTGGCGGAGCACCAGTGAAGGGTGATCGATGAGAATGAAAACAGGCCAGTTAGCCCATCATGATGAATTCATCAGGAATTAACCATGATAGTTTCCAGGGAGAACCGCGTGGAGGTTGACCTGGTTAGGTATATTGCTAGCAATAGGATTTTTAGTCTCCATTACTAACAATTCCTTTCCCCCCTTTACCAGCGGTTAGAAATTATTAGCGAGACTCTTCTATTAAACAGATGACGGCTTTACGATATGACGATACTGACTCCGATATTGTTAAAATTATAGATTCACTAGTTTGAATAACTGATAATTTATGCGAAAAAAGGTTCTCGAATGTAGACCCTGTATAGGTAAACGCAGTGTATGATATTTACTTGGATAGACCTTGAATGTATTGCAGGGACTCAGTGGATACAGGTGGCTCAGGATCGTTTCTTATGACAGTCTGTGGAAGAGACCTATGTTTACCAGAATATAGCCAACAGCTTAATTTGAGAAAGTATGTATTTATGATTAAATATTAGATGCTATAACTGCGTCAATAGTAGCAATTTATATTTTTATAATTCTTGATACTTTAAACAATTAGAAATAAAGCTAAAAAACAGAGACCACGGACAAAATTTAAGACAATGTAATAAAAAAAAAATAAAAAAAAATAGGGACCACGAACTACCACTATACTATTTAAGAATCGGCACTATCGAAATATGGACAAAACTGGAAAATGAATTTAAGCAATCATTTAGAAATATTAACACATTAAAATTAATGAATATTCATAGTGTTATACAACTATTTATGCTATGTCTCTATCCAAGATATCAATATAAGTAGGCATCATAATAGACAGCTATTATATAGTCTATAATTTTTATATATCAATTCAGTTTATTGGTGGCATAGATTTTATACTAACATTTTTTTGTTTGAAGTGACGTGAACCAGGTACTAAATATTATAAAGTTTTTTTTTACCTCGTCCAATACTTTGGCTGCAAGAAAATTATGGACAATTCTGAGTTATATATTTTTTTTATTACTCTAAAAAAATAAATATTATATTACTGTTTGTTTTAAACAATTTAGCTAAACGTTATTTTGACAAAACGATCGAATCAATTCATTTGGATTTGTTTTAAATTATCAGAGCGTTAATAGTGGTGTGATTTGTACCGGTATCGCGGTGGGGTAATCTGTCGATAAATCTTGTGTTTTACAGCTGGTGCCAACCGATAAGGATCAGGGACGCCACGTGGGGTAATAGTGATGTACTTGTTTATCAATATGGACGATGTTAATGTTTTACGGTTATATTTTAATATGAATATCGTCTTGAGTAACAATTATATTATGTAGGATTAAGTTTAGTGTTATATGCTAGTTTTACATTTATAGGAAGGAGGGATTTGTTAGTAAGCGAGACTAGCGGCCGCATTTCTAGTAAACTATCGACCTCCAGGCAGTCCCCCTGGACCATTACCATCGTATTTGTTTTGCGATGAATTCGTCACAATGGGCCAACTGACTTGCTATCATAATGACTTACATCATCTCTCACTGGTGCTTTGAGGTCGAGTTCCACGTAGTTTCTACTGGAAATGAGCGTGTTTAATTCTAGATGAATTCGTCATGATGAGATAATTGATCTGTTTTCATTCTCACCTATCATTCTCACTGGTGTCCCGTCAGCGTATAACGATAGTGTGGGCGGAGTTACTATATCATTTTCATCAATAAAAAAAAAAAAAAAACTATTCCATCATGATCATTAAAAAAAAAGTTAGTGATGTCAATTAAAGACGAGACAAACCGCCTCAAGACTAGGTTAAAGGCATGAATGAATCATTAGTGAGTTTTTTTTGTGTCTACTACGCATTTGACGAATGAGCCCATTTGGGCGTCCGCCAACACTGTAATATTTTCACAAAAACGCAACCCAATTTTCCGTCAATGATGCTCATTTTAAACTGGCACCATTTAAATGCCTTTAGCTTTTGTAAGTGTGTGCTTTTAGCATGTTGTATTTTCGGTTGTCATAGAAATCTATCTATAATATTCGTGCTTATACAAGTATAAAAAATATTTAAATAAATAAATATATAATTAGATGATGTTTGTATTTACAAAGATATTTAAGAAAAAAATATTAGACAGCTCTTAATAAGAGTAAAATTAATTTTCAGAACTTTTGACTATCTTGTTCTGGCATCAAGCAAAAATTGCTGAACCAAATTGTATAGAGATTTCAGAGTTGGGTTATTGAAAATCTAGACACCACGCCGGCATACACAGACCAACAGTATATGCCGGCTGCAAACCCAGTGACCTGGAGGTCGTCGCCTCCGGAGTAGAAGCCGGGGTAATGGGGTACGCCCCGAGGCCCCTACCACGCCCGCCCACACATCATCCGGCGGGCAAGAGAAGACCATGTTGTTGTTGTTGAAAATCTAATTACATGCATGACATGCATTCTGTTATTCTATTGACGACGTTGAGGGTGTAACGGAATATTATACCGTATTATCTTCCAATGGTCAGCTGTTCGTATAGTACAAACATTTATATTTTATGTGTGGGTGTTGTCTATGTATTGTATGTATGTATTTCATAAAACAAGTAACTACTTATGTCTATTAATTATCTTCAAAGTACAAGTTGTGTTTAGTTTGGAACTAGATGGCGTTCTGTAACATGCTTACGGATATTTATTTATTATACGTAGTCTATAATACAAATTTACTCACACAAGATCGCTTCGTCAAAAACAAACCAATTGTTTTTGACGAAGTGATTGTTTGTTTGACTAGATGGAATGTCTCGCAAAATTTACATATGTTAGGCTAAAGAAAAGATTTATGCTATCATCACATCGTAAAAATTTTACACAACAAATTTAAATTTAAATATCGAACTAAAAAAATATTTAATCACTGAGCACAACACTATTAAGCTGTCAGCTCCATACATCAGTGAGGCCTCCCTCGCGATCGTGTCGATGATAAAAATTACTTAAAACACCAAACATTTAACTTCGTGCCCCTCGCGACCCCTTTCTGTCCTTTTCACGCCCAACACTATTTACCAAAAAGAGCGGGAAAGAGATAACACTTTTATTTTTTAAACCTTCCTATCCAAACATAAGGTTTCTTTTGTGTTGTTTTACATGTTTTTATAGTAAATCTTGTGTTGTCTCCATAAACGATCTCGACAATGATTCAAACTCAGTACGTGACGGTATTTGGTGATAAAAATATGTGTATAATTGATGATGGCAACCCTTAGAGATTTTGGCCGTGATTGGGCTGAGAAATTGATTTGTGCCCACGTTTTAAAACTGAAATATAGTCACGTTTGATCATGGAACGTATTCTCTATTACCCATGTACTTATATAAAATTAAAAAAATTTAATGCATAAAAATTCGGCTTTATTTTGGATAAATATTCGTCCATTCGATTAGAACTTAATTAAAGATTGTGTTCTATGAAAAAATCTACTTTAATTGTGTTATTTTGATCTACTACTGATTTTCATAAAATTTCTAGAGGACAAATTCTTTCAAATTAAAAAATATTTTTTCAAATTTATAAACGGTGGGGTTATGGTAAGACACATAAAAAAATACAACAATATTGAGAACTTTTTTTGAAGTTTTTTGAAATGTGCAGGTCAGGTAAAAATGGTACAATAATATTTTTTTATTGTTACAGGTAAATAGCGGTTACCGTGGTGTCAACTAAAATGAGAAAAAAGAGAAAACCAGGAAAGAAATAAAATAACAAAACAGTGTTCGTACAAGCATTTATTACTATAATAATCATATTGTTAAAAGTGGTGTAAACAGCCAGACAGGGACTGGATTAAAAAAAAAAAAAAGAAAAAATACAACGAAAAATATTAAGAGTTGAGTGCACTGCACCATAAAAACAACTTACTCGAATACGAAAACAAACTTCGGGCCTTTTTAATCGTAAAACAAATAAGTAATCGACGTTTAAAAGTGATTGCCTTTGTTTGAACATTTTTGGGACTGCCGCCTTTTCAAGTTTATTTAGCTGCACCGCATCCAACCAGGGACGACGGTTTGAAAACAACACGGCGAGAGAACAAACAGAATTTGATAGTATTTATTCTCAAGACTACCATTAAAAATAAATATAGCGGTGCATTTTCATAAATTACTGGCCGATAATAAACATAATTCCAAAATCAAAACTATAACTTGTTTGGCGCGAATTTGAAATTAAAAAGTTTAAACGTCAGTTTGACAATTGTATAGTGTAGTGCTGTGTTGATATAATCTGTGAAGTAGTGGTGTCAAAGTGGCAGGAGACGAGCATTTGGACATGCTGGGGGGCCCCGAGTGGGGGCAACGGGAGGCCACCCCCCCTAGAGACGCCCCCCTACCGAGTTTCGGTTTTACACAGGAGCAAGTCGCGTGCGTATGCGAGGTAAGTTAACCGTCTTTTAAAAGTGTTCATATCATAGATAAATAATAGTATCTGTGGCCCTGTTCATACCGAATCTTTCCGAAGTGTGTTGGCAACATTGGAATTTACTCTCAATTTTTAAAAACATATTAACACATTTCTGTATTTTTGATTCATTATTTAAAAAGTGTCCTAAGAGCGAACTAAAACTTTAATCATAGAAAAAGTTACACGCAAACCTACCACTTTTTTGCTATCAAAGAATTTTGTTGTATCTTAAACTAGTTAGGTGGGGGGAAAGGGATTGTTAGTAATGGAGACTGAGAATCCCATTGCTAGCAATATACCCAAACAGGTCAACCTCCTCGCGGTTCCCCCTGGAAACTATTATGGTTAATTCCTGATGAATTCACCATGATGGGCTAACTGGCCAGTTTTCATTCTCATCTATCACCCTTTACTGGTGCTCCACCAGCGTATCCCGTTAGCGCAGGCGGGGTTACCATACCATTTTCACCCATCAAAAAAAAAACTAGTTAGGTTTTTTATAACGTAAACATACATGCGGCTCATCTGATGGTAAATGACTACTGCCGTCTTTATACACCGACAAAACCAAAGGTATTGCAGGTGTGCTGCTGGCCTTTTAAAAAGGAATATATTCTATTTTTTTAGTTCACTATAAAAAAAATATGAAAATTATTAAATTATTTTCAAAAACTGACACAGGATTTCGACTTTTCTATACTTCGATAAGTTTTAAATGAACAATTGACACTTTGTTCCACGTTAGTTTCCACGTGGTTCTCCCTGGAAACCATCGTGGTTACTTCTCGTGGAATTCTTCACGATGGGCTAACTGAACTGCTTCATCCTCACATAACATCTCTTACTGGTGCCTCGCCAGCGTATACTATAATATATATAATAATATATTTAAAAAAAAAACAATAGCATGAATAATAGTAATAAAATACAGTATGGACACTCCCTGCCTCTATTTTCCCGCGCTAATCGCATCTGCGCACGCGCACATTGCCACATATGTAGAGATGGGCAATCCACCTGGGTGGGTTTAAAGTCTGGTGGGTAAAAACCGGGTGTTTTGGGTTTATTGGGTTTAAACCCCATAAACACCCAAATTTTTGGGTGTTTATGATTTTGTACTTCATCATCGTCATCTCAGCCGCAAGACGTCCACTATACTGGACATAGACAATATTATTATGCAGCCTACAGAATAAAAAACTTTTAATTTGATTTTGAGTTTATTAAGAAAGAGATGAAAGTAAAATGTAAAACTACAGTCAATCACTGTCAGATTCAGAGTTATTACAAGCGATGAATTGTATAGGTTCGATAGGCTCTATTTCGTCTAAACTGTTATGTTCATTTACTTGCTCAATGAAAGCTTCTAAGGTATTTTCTTCATTAAACTGAATGTCCTCGCATTCAGCTTTATGTTTAAGATTCCAGTTATAACAAATGAATGAAATTTTTTCAGTTCTTTCAGTTGTAAGTCGATTTCTTTTGTTATTATGTATGTAGCCTTGGATACTAAAGGAACGCTCAGTGGCTGCCGAAGTACAGGGAGCTGATAGAATACGAATCGCTACTTTGCTTAACTCAGTGGAACCACAAATACCTTTCCACCATATTAGGGGCTCAATGCTATCTAATGAGCTCCATACAAATCCTCTGGCCCAAAAGTTTTCTTTAGCTTTATAACACGCCAAATCTGCCATTACATTTGACAAACTTAAGTGTTGGCTTAAATTGTAGATAAACTCCATACCCTTAAGTTCTTCCTCTTGAGTAAGTTCGACTCCTAGAGTCCTGGGGTCTAGAATATATGCTGCAAAATGTATTGGCCTCATTGCCATATTGCATCTTGAAGATACTGATGTTAGAATCTGCTGTTTGCTTTCTTCGCTCAATGTCGAAATCTCATTTAATGCAAAACGTATCTTAGCTTGTACATCTCTAAATGTAATGTATGTGCGATGCAAACGATTCTGGTCGCTCTCTAAGTAAAATATGCTTTCAGTGACTGGTTCCAAAATACTTATACATTCCCCTGTCTTCGTCCAGAAATCATCACTTAGAATTAAATCTTTAATATCTCTTGAAATTACCACATCTTCTCTAACTGTTAATATTTGCAAAGCTATCTTATTTGCTTTCAAACTTTTTAACGAAGTAACATGACTTCCCCATCTTGTAGCACAAGGCAATTTTAGTGTTTGTGTAGAATCTTCACCCTGCCTTGATTTTATCAACAAGGAACTTAATCGTTGACTCCTTTTAACAGTTTTTATTATATTTATGGCTTGCATAATAAACACAGTTACTTCTTGTATCTTTACAATATCTTGGCACAACAAGTTAAGGATATGTGCACAGCAACCGAGAGGAACAACATGTGGATATTTGAGTTTTGTTAATTCGAATGCCTTTTGTATATTTCTAGCGTTATCGCCAATAAGTACAAGAAACTTATTTGCTCCATACACTTTCATTACTTTTTCAACTTCTTGGCTAAGGTATTCACTAGTGTGAGGATTACTTTCTGTATTCAAACTTTTAACGTATACAGGTTGAGGTTTTGATATAAGAAAGTTTATTATTCCTTCATTTCTTAAATTAGACCAGCCATCGCACTGAAGGTGTAAGTAACTACAAGCATTTAGTTCCTCATTTAACTCAAAACGCATTTCTCTATATATTTTATCTAAGTATTTTGTCGCTAAAGCTTTACGTGAAGGTATTTTAAATTTTGGTTGCAATTTTTCGAAAAATTGTATCCATAAAGGATGTTGCACCATCGATAATGGCGTCCCTGTTACAAATATAGCTCTCGCTAATTCTGTTTTTATATGATCATCGGTGTCTTGAAACTCAGCATTTATTGTAGTGTTAGCAGACGACGAGGGGCTTATAAAAGAATCATTTGTCTCTATCTCTGACAGTCCAGACATTTTGGTTTTGGACGAGCTATCTTTTATAAGTTTCATAGAGTCTTTTAATGTTTCTGGAGATTTTGGACAAGTGATAAGATGTTGAAGCATTTTGGCAGCATTACTGAATTTGTAGACCTTATTACAAAGCTTGCAAGAAACAGACTTGTTTGGTAAAGTACGGTAGTGCTCCCATATGCGTAAATCTTTAGGTCTCCCCATTGAACCTAAAAAAATGAACGATGATTAGTTGGTCTGACGAAAATTCAACAATAGAGTGCCTATTTTTTTACAATGATTATTTCTTGTTATTTACAATAAATTTATTAAAAAAATAATAAAATAAATACAAAAAACCTTTGTAAAATTACATCTCCTCGGAGGATTAAACGCAGACGCTAGTTTATTATCGTATTGTTCTGTATTTTTCTCAGCAACTTCTTTAATTCGATTAGGTACTTACGCATATTATGTTAAAAATAAATATCTAGTACACATCTTAGGCTATCCACCATTATTATCCAATGACGACTCTCAGCTAACTATGCACTATCATCCAAAATAAACGTGTATGGAAAATTTTATCCCAGTCGGTTGAGGATTGAGGATAATTGCATCAACATACGAACATACCTACATACTTTTATTTACATAACGCAAGCTAAATAAAAGCTTGTAATAATACATCTAATTTTAAGTTAAAATTGTTAAGTGATCATGATATAATTGTATCATTCAAAAATCCACTTACCTTTAATTATTTCTTGTTAAGTATAAATATTATTTCAAATCTGCTCCCTTAATATGCACTTTTTTACTGCTTTTCCTACCTAACACGTTACCAGGAAGTCACGTTACCAGAGTCAGAGTAATAGTGAACACGTTTGACAGTGATTGTCGTCGCCTCATATTCAGCGTCGACGAATAGGGGAATCCCCAGTCATAATGTATTGCATGCGTGGCGGTCTTACTTCAAATCCATAAACAAAGAGATAATTACAGAACTCGATACTAGATGGCGCTGTTTTTGTTTGAAGAAAGTTTGCGGGCTAAAATACATAGAATTTCATCAATGACTTCCACAAAGAACAACATTTCTGTTTTTTCTAAGTCCGTATCTCTTCCGTATATTTCATAAGATATAAGCTTGGGCTACATTGTTATGCAACGTGATTTTGTCGCTGTCTTGCTAGCAGGGTTGACAGATATACGATTTAAATCGTACTCATACTATTATTTGTCTATTTTTTAATGTACGATCGTAAAGATTATGATCGTAATTCGCACAAAAACATACGACTTTTTGGTTACCTGGCAACATTTTTATTATGAAACGAACATGCTCACATCATCAGTCACATGCAACAATTTATTGGGGATTTCCCCTTCACATCTGGCAGTCCTGCTTGCTAGAATATAGGTAAGTCAGCCACAGTTACTGACGATCGATATTTAAAGGGTATTGTTTTTGTGCTAAATATTTCATAAAAACGTTATTTAATACTTTGTGGATTATTAATTTAGTTGATAATCACTGGAAGTAAAATGGATGCTAATTTGAGAGATCAAGATCTTCGTATAAAACAGTTAATAAAAGAAAATCTACGTAAGTACTCTTTTTATACCTAGGTAGGTAAGGTATAATAAACACAAAAGGTACTTAGATCGCGTGTGTTCGAAGCATTTATTCTAATAAATTTAATTTAAAATTGTAGAAAGAAAAAAATGTCTGCCAAGCCGTAGCCGAAGCCGATCTCCAAATATATTTGGCGATAGTGAGACCCAGTGTCCAGATGATTTACCCAGCGTCGTCGCAACAAAGAAAAAAACGAGGATAAAGTAAAAGAAAATTTACTGAAAGAAGAAACAAACTGTTCTAAATGCTTAATTTATGGAGAAGAGGATAAAAGAAATGAGTATTTCGGACTGTTAGTGGCTCAAGAATTTAAATATATACGGCCATGTGTGCGAACGAGGTGTTATGAAGAAATTTTAAAGTATCTACGGGAAGCAAAAGGCCAACATGTTGATCAACTGCAACATGAAAACACTGAAAATTAATTACTTTCATTTTATTATATATAGATTTTTAAAATTTCCTGAAATATTATTAGTTAACGTTTTATTTAATATTGTAGAATTGATCAATACAATTTATAAAAATAATTTATTGGTATTACTTACATATTTTCAAAAAAATACGTAAGAACCTATTTTTTTGGGTGATTATGGGAGTTTATGGGTGTTTATTGGGTTTTTACCAAAGCACCGGGTTTAAACCCGGTGCTTTGCCCATCTGTACACATATGTAAACAGACGTTACATATTTCTGTAGTTGTGACAAGTGCGGATCGTGGTATTTTTGTAAGAAGTATGCTGTATTAGATGGGACAGCAATTTCTAAAGTGGGTTCCGTAAAAAAGTTACTAGGGTTCTGCGAAATTATTTATATATTATATATATATATATATATATATATATATATATATATATATATATATATATATATATATATATAATTTTATATAAAATATATATATATATATATAAAAAAAGAGCAAAGCCATAATTAAGTGATTTCGAAAAAGCGAATCTGTCTAATTTTCTTGGGGTCTCTCATTTTAAGATAGAGCATTGGACCTTTTAAGGTAGGGTTGCCCTTAAATGCCCCCCCCCCCCCCCTAACTACGGCCATGGAACGAATTTTTTTGTCATTTTGACTTAAACTATTATAAAAATATTCATATTGTTTCTTATTGGTCCTTAAAGTTCACTTGATTCTAAAGATTAAGATTAAAAACGTTGGTTACATCATTTATACAACAGATCATCAAGTTAATTTTAAATTTTTGCATTGTTTGCACATATTTTAAATACACTATCAGGGCTTAACGCGACCAAAAATGTTTGCAGGTAAATAGTACTTTACATACCTGCTTCTTTATTACCGACGTTTCGACGTGGACTGCATCACATCGTGGTCACGACAGGACACAACATTTTTCATCGCGTTAATTCCGGGTAGTGTATTTAAAACATATCGTTAATGTCTGCTATGCCGCTGTGGTTCTCTATCTCAGGGATTCCTAAATTTTTAAGATAACAGAACGCCCAACCTTAGATTATATGGGGGGAAAGGGATTGCTACCAATGGAGTTTGACAGCCCCATTGCTAGCAATATGCCCTATTAAGTCGACCTCCACGTGGTTCCCCCTGGAAACCATCGTGAACAATTCTTGTTGAATTCGTCACGATGGGCTAACTGACCTGCTTCATTCTCACCTTCACTTCACTGGTGCCTCGCCTGTGTATACCGATAGCTCGAGTGGAGTTACCATTCCATTATTATGCATTAAAAAAAAATACTTATTAATAAGGATTTAGGTAAAGCAAAATCTTTGTACCACTTTAAACGAAAGTAGTGCGGACGGAGGAGTATGATATTTGGCACACTTAGAGTTAATATAGAGAAGTGAGGATGAAAAGGCAGGTCAGCCCATCGTAACGAATCCAACGGGGGGGGGGAAGGGATTGTTAGTAATGGAGACTGAGAATCCCATTGCTAGCAATATACCCAACCAGGTCGACCTTCTCGCGGTTCCCCCTGGAAACTATCATGGTTAATTCCTGATGAATTCATCATGATGGGCCAACTGGCCTGTTTTCATTCTCATCTATCACCCTTCACTGGTGCTCCGCCAGCGTATCCCGTTAGCGCAGGCGGGGTTACCATACCATTTTCACCCATCAAAAAAAAACGAATTCAACTATAAATTAGTCACGATGGTTTCTAGTTGGAAACACGTGGAGGTCAACCAGACAGGGTATATTGCTAGCAATATACAGGTAGTCCGCATTACTAATCATCCCTTCCCCCCGATGACCACGAGTTACAGTTATTAAGCATGCAGAACCTCTGAGTCATGAATACAACCGTTGGAAGGAATGATTTAAAAATACCACAGTCATAATAACACAAGTACGATTGTGTATTATCACGTTTGGAATTGTATTGTAAACAATTGGCGCATGTTAAGTTTTCGTAGAAATCGCTCTGGAGTTATAATTACTCCTTTGTTGATGATTAAGTGGATTGCTGACCACGCCAAAAACAACAAACCAAACTGAGCCGAGTGACGATGGTATATTCGCTAAGAACAAGGAATTACATAGTAGGAATGATAAAATAAAAACTGTAAATCATATGGTTGCCTCCTTTCTTCTTATGTTTCGAAAACCAGAGAAAAACTTTGTACAAAATTCGATCGCTTGGGTACCTCTGTCCTATTCGTGTTTCTACCGTGAAGCAGTTGTGTTTGCATGGCTGTGTTTCGGTTTGAACGGTGGGATATGGCGTGAATTTACAGGGTACAGAGGAATAACATCTGAGTTCTCAGGAATGGCAACGCATGGGGGGTATCATGGGCGAAACAGTATACTCTGTTGTGTCTATGGTACTGCTCATGTCTATAGGCGACGGTTACCACTTTCCATCAGGTGGGCCGTCAGCTTGTTTGCCATTCTAAGTTGTATAAAATAAAAAAAAAACAATTGAAGTTGGTTTTGCAACCAACTACTCCAACTGAGCTCATCATCTGTCATCCGTCACTGATACCTCGCTAGTGTATACCGATAACGCAAGACGGATAATAATGCCTTTAAAAAAAAACTGTATCTTTTTTTAAATATAACGATACAGTGTTTGTATTCATTCATTCATAAATGTATTAGGAGTAGTTCAGCAAAAGTTAATTTTAAACCTGAATCATACAGAACTGAACCTTGCAATGTGTGAGTATTCCTTTATCCGAATTACGTCAACGCCCTCCGTATACCCGGGCTACGCCCCCCGTAACCGGATATCCGGCTAGCGACCGGTCGCCAACGTTACCAACCGACTCTGTTTGCACTGTCTCGACGAAAACATAAAGTGTATACTTACCTATAATTTAGTACGTTAGTAATATTTAAAACATTTTGCTTAATTCAAAAATATAATTTAACAGTTTTATTATTGTTTTTTTTTATTACACATTTAAAATAGATTATAACCATTGTTGTTAGGGTTGTTTTTTTTTGGATATGTGAAAATGGAATGGTAACCCCGCCTATGCTAACGGGATACGCTGGCGGAGCACCAGTGAAGGGTGATAGATGAGAATGAAAACAGGCCAGTTAGCCCATCATGATGAATTCATCAGGAATTAACCATGATAGTTTCCAGGGGGAACCGCGAGGAGGTCGACCTGGTTGGGTATATTGCTAGCAATGGGATTCTCAGTCTCCATTACCAACAATCCCTTTCCCCCCTTGTTATGGTTGTTGTATCAACCGTTGACTGTCCACTGCTGAACATAAGCCTCCCTCATAAGGGGGGATTTGCCAACAGTCATCACGCTTAACAGGCGGATTGGCAATTGCATTTAGGCTTTGGAGATGTTTTAAGAGGGACGCTACTACCCATCCTTCGCCTTCCCTAAGTCGCCTTTTACGACAGCCACGCGAAAGGACGGGGTGGCCTATTCTATGCCGGGACCACACGGCCAACTGTTTCTACGTTTGTTCCGGCATCACGCAGAAACTACTAAATCAATTTGAATGCGGTTTTTACAGTTCTATTCCTGAAAGTATAAGTTACAAAACTGGTGTATGTTTTATCTCCATACGTCGTCTAGATGTGGTTTGTTGTGTTGGTTTATCTATTTCTAAAATCCATTATTATAATGTTTATGTATTATATGTGTATTTCCTCCAAATATATATATTAATTATATTCCCAAAGAGGGTTGACGTCAGGCAGGCGGCCGGTCGTAAAACTATAAGCCAAGTCCTTTAGTAATATGGATAAAACCATATTACGCCGACGCCGAATAATAATTAGGATAAGGGTAGGAAGATGATGATGTGTATTTCCTCCAAACCGTAGGTGGTGGAAAACACCAACAAATGCATTCCCAAAGAGGGTTGACGTCAGGCAGGCGGCCAGTCGTAAAACTATAAGCCAAATCTTTTTGTAATATAGATAAAAAAAAAACATAATACGCTGACCACTAATAATAATTGGTATAAGGGTAGGAAGATTTATAAATCTAATATATAAAATTCTCGTGTCGCGGTGTTTGTTACCAAACTCCTCCGAAACGGCTTTACCGATTTTTATGAAATTTTGTTTGCATATTGTGTAGGTCTGAGAATCGGCCAACATCTATTTTTCATACCCCTCAATGATAAGGGTGGCCTACTCCTAAATATTTTTTTTTATAAATATTTTTATTTTATCATGATTTAGCATTTAAAAATACATACAAATTCAAATTTTCACGCTTTTACGATCAACCCCAGTTTTTTAATCACGATTTTTATATGCCGCAATAGGATTGCAAGATGGCAAGCGAATATAATAATTGTAGTACGATACATTTTCATGTATTGTTCTAGAAATAATGTATATGGTAAAACAACGTTTGCCGAGTCAGTTAGTTTATATATATATTTTTTATATGTTATGTGAAATTATTTTAGTATATTATAAAAATTATGTCACATATTTCTCACCACATCTGCCCTTCATACGCTTTCTGTTTTCACCTAATGGTTAGCTGGTAGAGAACGCCATATGGCATTAACTCACCAATCATATAATAATTATTAACATCACTCTTTTTTTTATACAACTTACAATGGCAAACAAGCTGACGGCCCACCCGATGTAAAGTGGTAACCGTTGCCTATAGACATGAGCAGTACCATGGACAT